TGTTGTGTAGGTGAGCACTTAGAGAAGCTGATCCCCATGGTGGTAAAGTTCACTGGTGTGGAGGATGACGAGCTCAGAGAGTACTGTTTCCAGGCTTTTGAAGCTTTCATACGCAGGTACACGCACGCACGCACGCACGCACGCACGCACGCACGCACGCACGCACGCACGCACGCACGCACACACACACACACTCTAATTCTTTCTCTCTGTCTTGACTTTGATTGACAGGTGTCCAAAAGAGATGTCTCCCCACGTTGCCACAGTAACACAGCTTTGTCTTAAGTTTATGACCTTTGACCCAAACTACAATTATGACGAGGACGAGATAGAGGATGAGGACAGCATGGACATTGAGGACGATCTTGATGAGGGTTAGTTTGCAAAAATGTTTTTCAGTCTTTATAGTTCAAAGCAGTTTTTGTTCAATCTTTTTCAAATCTTTTTTGTGTCTTTTTGTGTTTGTGATATTTTGTGTTTTATTGTCTTCTTTTGCAAATACAACTCTGTTACTCTGTTAAGACCTCAGAACAAAAACGGTATGTGCTCTGTTTATGACATCTAATTTACGGTCTCCAGTGCACAGCACAGATCAGGGAGTCTGACTCTGTTATGTCGGTTAGGTGGTTCACAATCTCTGTGCTAGCTTAGATGCAGAGTGCAAAGCAGTTGAATTGAGTCCCTTGCTTGTTCATAGATTTGTTCTAAGAGTAACATGGATCCTGTCAAGAACTGGGTCTCCTCTATTCTCTTCAGTTAATGAACAGAGTGTGCTTGCAGACAGGTGCGTTACTATGTACAGCGTGAGCTTCAGCCCTTCTTTAAATAGGCTGGGCTTAAGCCATATAACTTCTCTTTATTAATGGTACCTCTGAAAATTTAAAAGCACTCATAGGCTGTTGTGTGAGTAATATAGATGCATGGATCCTTGTTATATCCACTAAAACAGTTCCTCTACACAGCAGAAATGGTCATTGACCTTCTAAATGAGCAGATGTATATATTCATACACAAGGAACAGCAGTGTAACCTCATTAATTTTCTGAAACTTGGGATACTTTTGTGGTCTCTGATCTTGTAACAGCTGAGGTTTGCATAAGACGGAGGGACCAAACTATCCCGACTTTTACAATTCAGTGTCTTCAGGACTGACACCAAAGACTGACGTCAGAACAAAGTGGAACCGAGAACAGTGGTTGACTGATGCTGATACCGATAGGGGGCCGATGTATTAATGCCAATATCAAACTGCTGTTTTTTTGTGGTTTTCAATTTAACAACATACAACAGCTTAATAACAACACTTATGAATAGGAAACATATTTGCTGGACATAAAAGAAATTTTTTTTTTATCATGTAGACTGAAGAAAATTTGGCACAATACTGCTATAGGGCTTTTGAACTCTGGCCAGCCATGTGATGACATAAAAAATGAAAAAAAAAAAGGTAATAATTGGTTGAGAAAAAAAAAGTCATGTATTATGTTATTATTACATGCTAACTAAACTCTAATATACATATTTATCTTAACCAGTAACATGTAAGCCATGCAAGCCTTTAGTGACTTAAACCATCACTTTGTACTGAAATAGGAACAATTCCTCACCCTATTAGAATAATGGCCCAAGTCATTTTTTGAAAAAAATGACTTCGTGGCATGATCCTTTCAACGAAGGATTTAGGCGATTTTACCAGAGATGGCCAGCATTATCAAGAGATGATTTAGGCCAAAAACTCATTTCTGTCAAAAAATAACTTAGGCCATTATTTTAATAGGGTGACGAATTGTAATCCTCAGACAGACAGACAAAATATGATATAAAAGCCTGCCTCTAAAAGAAGCCTGCTTCATAGAAAGGCCTGGTACTTCAGGCATTAAAAGCAAATACAAGACCTCGTATTTATTTGAGGATTTAGATAGTACTTATAATGTTATGTATGTAAAACAAACTGATTAAGTATGACAAGAAAAGTATACATGCTGCAGTAAAACCAGCCCTGTTTGTGTTTTTAATACTCAATGAGAAATCTGAGTTCTTTTGACCCTGTGGTTGTTTTATTAGTGCCTACATGCTCCAAAAAATTCTCACAGACTCACTCAGTTGCTCTCTGAGAGACATAATAAACAGAGAAAATTAGAGACATTTCAATCCTTCATTTTCAGGTAACTAGCTCAGTCCAAGAATAAGAGAACTTCTGCCTCCTCTCTCCCCTCTAGAATCAGACGATGAGTACAGCGACGATGACGACATGAGCTGGAAGGTGCGGCGCTCGTCCATCAAATGTCTGGAGGCGTTGATCAGCACTCGCAGAGACCTCCTCCTCTCCTTCTACTCCTCCATCTGCCCAGCTCTGCTCGCCCGCTTTAAGGAGCGTGAGGAGAATGTGAGGGCTGACGTCTTTGCTGCCTTTTCCACACTACTAAGGCAAACACGAGCCGGATCGAGTCACCATGGAAACATTATGGCTGGATCAGACTCAGGTGTGAGCAGGGAGGAGGAGCCTGTAGTGGCCATGTTGAAAACACAGGTACACAATAATTTTTTAATCACAAATTTGGAGAGGTAGTGAGGTGCATCCATGTTCTTTCAGGTTTCAGATATTTACGTGTGTGTGTGTGTGTGTGTGTGTGTGTGTGTGTGTGTGTGTGTGTGTGTGTGTGTGTGTGAAAACGCATGCAGGTACCTGTGATAGTGAAGGCTCTGCACAGACAGCTGAAAGAGAAGAGCATCAAATCTCGCCAGGGCTGCTTCTGTCTCCTCACTGAGCTGGCTCACACTGTACCTGGAGCTCTGGAGCAGCACATACCTGCGCTGATACCAGGTTCAAACACACATCAGTTCACTGTTCTCTTTTTCCTGCTTTTATTCTCGCCAATACGCACCCAAAACACACATATTATTTTCTTTGTTTTTCATGCTTCATGCTCTGTAATTGTCCAACACCTGATCCCTTTCTTCTCTTTTCATTTTTCTGATCATCCTTCTTTTCCTGCTCCCTCCATCCTCCAGGCATCGTCTTCTCACTGACAGACAAGTCGACCTCCTCCACCATGAGGATCGACGCTCTCTCATTCTTCCATGTCCTCCTCCTCACTCACCCTCCTCAAGCCTTTCAGCCTCACATGCAGGTCCTCCAAAAATCTTTTAGAAATTCACTTTTGGATTTTTGTTTACGCTCTGATTTTAAAAATGCTTCTGATGTAACAGTGTCTCATGCAAACATAGCTGCTGACTCAAGACAGTTTTCACCCCCTCTTGTTGCACAAACGTGATACTAGTTGCCTCTAATACAGTATATTGCACATATGGAGTCTGAGCAGTCAGGGTCATTTGGAGGAAGTCTGCAAAGCACTTCTTTGATGTGATTAATTTGAAGAATTAACTTCCGGAGCTGAGTCAGGATGCTAATAGCAAACTATTAGGACAGAATCCATGCTTGGAAAAAAAAATACATATATACGAGTATTTTAATTTTAAAATTTGACCCATATTTCATCTGTGTACATGGAGGAGGGGGGCTTAATGAGCCAAACAGTGCACTGCAAAAACTCAAAAAAACAACTCAGATTTACTTTATAGCTCTATATGGTGAAACTCAGAGAAAATGGTTGGAATTATGATTTCTGAGAATTTCCTCTAAAGGTCAGACTAGATTTTTGTATCGATAAAAGTTATTAACTAAGCATTTTGGACCTTAAGAGTGCTCCTCCTCAAGTACTGAGGAGAACTTTGAAGTGCTGAAAAGACCCTCAAGCTGAGGAGGATACAGCACAACGCAACGTTAAACAGGAGAGCGATTGTGAGGCATTTACTCAGTGGAATAATGCAGCAGTTTCACTCATGAGTTGGTCATCATCATAGGTGAGCCTCTCGTACAGTAGCTTTAACAGAATTGAAAGGGTGCAGAATAACATTGTCAGCAACAAGCTGCATGAAATGGTTCAGTTAAAGGTTCACAGACGGACTGACTGACGTCTCTGTCTCTCATCATGTGCAGTGGTAGCACCAATATTAAATGCCAATCCTATAAAAAATTCAAAATTAAAACAAAACAAACAAACAAACAAAATTTCAATGCATAAACAGTCTGTCTGCCTTAATGGATCAGTTAAAGACTAGGTTGTCTCCCAACCAGAAGATCAGAGGTTCAATCCCAAGGCTTTCCACATGTGGTACATGAGGTACGTGACCCCACCTGACCCCGCTGGCTGCTCCCAGTGGCATGTGAATGGAAAAAAGTTACAAATGAATGGACTTGTTACATAACAGCCTCTGCCATCAGTGGGTGAATGTGATGTGATGTAAAGGTGCTCTGAGCGGTCGAAAGACTGGAGACAATACTAAACAAACATAGTCCATTTACTGTTTACTTAAACTCTCAGCATGTGAGGCGAGTACAGCACAGTCAACACATTTTTTAAACATTTTGTGGGCTTGAAACTTATAAAGTGCTCACAAACTATTCAACAGAAATAACTATGATATTGAAATACTGAAATTGGCTGTCTGATTATCTTTTATGATCAGGCTAATCAACTTCATTGTTTTTGTGTGCTTATTATTGAGAGGGAGTTTTCTTGTTCTCCACATTCTCTTTCTTGTTGTGAATGTCATACCGAGCATCGGGGGGAACCACATCTCCATACTGACAGAAGTTTTTGCCCCTTTCTGACAGAGTTGTGGGCCAGGACTTCTTGCTAAAAGTTTTAAGCAAAGTTAGAGGATCTCTGAAAGGATTTTCTAGAAATTTGTGAATACCTGTACTGATATGTGTTTAGAGACTGAAGTGTTTGTCTCCCTTGCTGCGGTCTCTGCAGGTACTGCTCCCCCCGGTGGTGGCGTGTGTGGAGGACACGTTCTACAAGATCACCTCAGAGGCTCTGCTGGTCACACAGCAGCTGGTCAGAGTGATGAGGCCGCAGGGACAGAACGCCACAGTGGAAGGATTCGACCCCAAACCATTTGTCAAAGAGGTACAAAGAGGGTCGAGTTTGTCTATGACTATTTCCTCTCTAGATCTGCAAAGTTTGAATGTCCTGTCTGCATGATAAAACCCTGAAAACTACTGAATAGGAGCTGGTTTCCAGAATCTGTTCAGAGAGGCAGATGAAAAACATGTGAGGGGTTCAGATAGCTTCAGAGTGTAAGAGATGTTACAAGTTACCCCGTAGTTTTTTGTGTTTATGAGGTCATTACCATCATTGTCTTTCCAGGTGTTTTCTGTGACCCTGAAGAGGCTGAAAGCGACAGACATCGACCAGGAAGTAAAAGAGAGGGCCATCTCCTGTATGGGTCATATGGTGTGTCATCTTGGCGACCACCTGGGGTCGGAGGTGCAGGGTGTTCTGGCGATCCTCCTAGAAAGGTTAAAGAATGAGATCACGAGGCTGACAGCAGTGAGGACCATCACACTCGTCTCTGCTTCTCCACTGAAGGTTTGATGAGATTTTTCTCAGATGACTCAATCTTTGATTTTTGAATTTCACCTCATGTAAAAGTCTTTTGCTGCTTAAAAACTGGTGAAAATATTCTGTTCATCTTGTTTTCTTTCCAGATCGACCTGTCATCCATCCTGCCGGACGCTCTGTCTGTGTTGGGATCTTTTTTGAGGAAGAACCAGCGCGCTCTGAAGCTCTGCACATTGGCGTGTCTGACTGCGCTCCTCTCTCATCATACGGCCAGCATCAAACCTGCAGCACTGGAGCCTGTGCTGAGTGAACTTCCTGCTCTGGTGGATGAGAGTGACATGCATGTATCACAGGTACAGCGCTTATTTGAATTTGCAGAAAAAAAAAATGCATCTCTCATTTTCTACGATGAATTTCTTTTCCTGGCATTTGTCAGTGAAGCATCAACCAGCTACAGGCAACAGCAGTTTAACATTTGAGGTTTGACATTTTTTTACCCCATTAAAATTAAAATCACTGTGTAGCTCTTTTATGTGAGGGCAAAAATATATATATTCACTACTGTAGTAGCCACAGAGTGATTTTTTTTTCTTGATGTAGGTTTGAATAAGGAATCCTCTACATTTTATCCACACATTCGAAGGCGCTCTTCTTCCCTGGTTACAGCAGAGACAGCATTGCATTGTGGGAGAGTCCAGGCTAAATTCTGACTAAGAAATTGTTTCTTCATTTCATAATATTTTAGCTCTTCAAATAAATCAATTAGAAGTCCACTAAATCTTGCAACATCTCAGTATGTGCAGGGTTTGTCTTGCATGGTGTGTTTAAAAGGAGACCAGGAGGACTCTGATAGGAAACAGTTGTTGTATTTATCATTGAGAAGGTGTCAGGCTCAGCTGATGTTGTTTTAATCTTTCAGTCTCTTGGCCCTCTGAATCTGAAAACCACACGCAGCAGTTCACCTGTGTTTTGTCTCGGCTCAGGTATCCGTCTCCTTGTTGACCTGTCTGGCCAAAGCGTGTCCGTCCTCTCTGGCTAAGATCAGCTCCTCTGTGCTGTCAGGCGTCCTCAGACTCGTCCACTCACCACTGCTGCAGGGAGGAGCGCTATCGGCCATCCTGGACTTCCTGCAGGCTCTGGTTCTCACTAAGACCAGCAACATGGGCTTCAGGTGGGGTGGTGGACAAGTGTGGGTTGTGTGTTTCTTCTGTTGAGATCCAAACGTCCCTTCTCCCTTGCTTTCTTCATCCCCTCTTCTCCATCTTATCTTCTCCTCTCTCCTCACCTCTTCCTCCTCTCAGTCAGCTCCTGAAGGCCCTCATGGCTCCATTTCAGAGCTCTCAGTGCTCAGTGGACGGCTCCATCCTCCACAGACAGTCCTTCCTGTCTGTGGCTCGCTGTGTAGCTGCTCTGTGCTCCTCCTGTCCTAAAGAGACTCCAGGCACTGTCACCTCTCTCCTGCAGGAGGTCAGTGACAGTCCAGTATGATATAAGCTCCACCTGGCTCCTTGTGTCATTATGTCCTCCTTTATTCTTCTCTCCTCAGGTGAAGAAACCCGGCTCTCCAGAGTCCGCTCGGGTCCTGGCTCTGCTCTGTCTGGGGGAGGTGGGGAGGAACAGCAGCTTGGGAGGGAATAAGGAGGTGCAGGGAGTCATCCTGGAGGCCATCTCTTCCACTAATGAGGAGGTCAGACATGCATCTTTTATGGGCTGCAAAAACGTATCATTTACAGAGCAAGTTCTAGTCTTTGAATTGTTGAAAAAGACATTTTTCTACTGCACTCACATATTTGAATGTGAAGTGTATTCCTAGAAAAACACAAATGCTTTCTGACAGAAGAGCTACAAAGACAAAGGAGAGAAAGGCAAAGACTGACAACAATAAAGGTCTTACCCATAGACTGTATATACTATGGACAACTTGGTTCCGCCTTCCGCTAGTATACGGATTTGAAGCCAAAAAGGTCTCTGTGATTCCCCGTTTTTTCTCCACTTCCTGAAACCATCATTGTGCAGTAACATTGTACGCATTCGGGGAGTCGCTGACAGTCGCTGTGATGACGCTCAGCACAAACAGCGCGTTCTCCGGGTGAGCTATACAATCTTAGTACGCCCATAGGCTGTATCAAGTGTCAATCATAGGAAACATGAACCTCCTAATAACTTTTAAAAAATTGAGCTGCACAGAAAAAAAGAGTCTTACTGTAACTGCATGTCAACATTGCAACCATGGGGGAGAAAAATGTATATTCTGTGTAATAAGTTTCTAAGGTTTGTCCACAGCTCCATAGGGATTGCTCGAGGAGGCAGGATTTATGACCTATACTGCAGCCTGTCACCAGAGGGAGCTGTTCTTGGGGTGGCTTCACCCAGCAAGGAGGCAGATGGTGTCCATTCTATATACAGTCTATGGACTGACCTTTGACTAAACTGGCACCCCAGACATTCTTATGTTTCGACAGCAGAAGCAAAACATTACAGCTGGGTGCTGTTTTCTATGAGTTCTATGAGTTCTTACCGTATCTTTGATATGGTTTCTTACCAGGTTTGATACAGATAGGACACTGAAGGTGGAGCTGAAATGTTTGACAAGATGAAAAGATTGCTGATAAAAATAAGAAGGATTTGACACCCCTGTGCTAGAGTAACCGGGTTGATCTCCCGTCATTTGTTCAACACTATAAAAGTTGTTTTAAAGTTTTGCAGTGGTCAGTCTGAACAGTGGGTAACAAATGCCTTTGAACTCATTACCTTCTTGAGTCATTGTTGTTTGTTTGTTTAGGTGAAGACGGCGGCGTCCTGTGCGTTGGGCAGCATGGCAGTGGGCAGTCTGAACGATTACCTGCCCTTCTTGCTGAAGGAGATCTCTTCTCAGCCCCGCAGACAGTACCTGCTGCTACACTCACTCAAAGAAGTCATCAGGTGTGTTTTCACCTGTTTCTCACTCTGATTGTCTGTCAGTGTCGATTTATCCACCTTGACTTTTTATACACGTCTAACCTTCCTCCCTGCTCAGTGTAACCTGAATTTTACTCCTCTCATTTCTCTAAATTCAGTATTTCACAGAGCTGCCCCAACTCTTGGGTGTCCTCTGGTGGCAGAGAAAAAAATCACAGCTTGAATTTTTACAAAAATATGAACATGAAAAAGTTGATTTTGCTCATTTTCTGTTTGTTTTTATTCAAGCAGAAGACACCTCAGGCATAAATTACCTGTCTTCTTTCCTTTTCCCCCTGTTTTCCTAAAATTAGGATGTAAATCTCTTTGAATGTAGCTCCATTCCGCGTTGAATCCAGTCTCAAAAATATTTTTTCCTTCTACTAAAGCTCTCTCTCTCCCTCAGTGCCAGTCCAGCGTCTAGTCTCTCTTCCCACGTGGAGTCCATCTGGTCTTTACTGTTTCAGCACTGTGAGTGTCAGGAGGAGGGGACCAGGAACCTGGTGGCTGAGTGTTTAGGAAAACTCACTTTGGTCAACGCTGAACAGCTTTTACCGCGTCTGAAACAGCAGCTGAAAGCAGGTACCATGAGTGAAAAAAAAAAAAGAATTTATATACCTTATGAGCGAAGCTCTTCATTATTTCACTTGTAACATTTAAAGCAATGACACTATAACACAAGAATGCTTTCTCAGTGTCATAAAGCTTAATCTGTGAGTGTAATGAGAGAATCATATCACCTCAGGGCTGTTTTTAATGGTGTTATATGACTTTTTGTTAAAACTATTACTCATATGATGGATCGTTATCCACCATGTTCCTGACAAAGATTCATTTTTAGATGAGACATTTTGAAACCATCTGGCTCCTCCTCTCAGGTTCTCCACTGGCTCGCAGCACTGTTGTGACAGCTGTCAAGTTCACCATCATTGATCAGCCGGCTCCCATTGACTTGCTGCTGAAAGACTGCATAGGTAAGACACACAGGTACACAAACAGTCTGACTGAGTTGAAACTCAAGACAAGCAGGTGAAGCCTCATGAAGCTCTGGGGATTCCTGTCAAGACTCAGAGCTTTGAAGGAAACAGTGGCACCTGGTGGCTCATTTGAGTAACAAGCTCTTTGCTTTGAATTTTATTATTATTATTTTTATGACATCTTGCTTTTTATTTCACATTTGAAAATTTAATCACATGACTCCAAATGAATGTTCTATTTCACCTCGTACTGTTAACAAAGAGATGACTTAACTGCAATTGTCGGGCTGAACATCGGCCACAGTTACCTCAGATGAGGATCAGGGAGTGTAATTTTGACTGAATAAAGTCTTTAAAGTGGACACGTGTTTATACGACATCACTGTTTATAGCTGATTCAGCATGTTTCATTTAAGACTGCCCCCTGTTCCAGCTCCACATCCTGAACTCGCTCTCTGAACCATCTTCTCTTCCTCCCCTATTTCTTGTCAGGCGACTTCCTGAAGACGCTTCAGGACAATGACATCAACGTGCGCCGAGTCGCTCTGGTTATGTTTAACTCTGCGGCTCATAACAAACCCTCACTGATCCGTGGTCTCTTAGCAACCGTGCTGCCTCACCTCTATAAGGAGACCCAGATCAGGAAGGACCTCATCAGAGAGGTGGGTCAGCTGGACAGGAGTCTAAAATTCAAACCTCTTTATGATCTGGTGTTTAACATTTGTGTGATTCTGTGTGTGTGTGTCTGCAGGTGGAGATGGGTCCATTCAAACACACAGTGGATGACGGTCTGGATGTTCGTAAAGCTGCGTTTGAGTGTATGTACACTCTGCTGGACAGCTGTCTGGAGGGCCTGGACGTCCTGCAGTTCTTGGATCATGTGGAAGAAGGACTCAAAGACCACTATGACATCAGGGTGAGCACATCGAGCAAACTGACAGCCTTGCTTTGTTTAAAGAATGAAAAAGCTCTTTTTCTTTTAGGTTTGTGTAAGCAGGACAATCTATAAACTGACATGAAAGGACTCTGAGCTGATCAGAGCGCCCCCTTGTATCTATATGACCCCACGTTTGTCTATTTTGTGTTCATTATTTCTGTAGATGCTGACGTTCCTGATGTTGGCTAGACTGGCGTCTCTGTGTCCTGCTGCTGTCCTCCAAAGACTGGACAGACTGATTGAACCTCTGAAGGCCACCTGCACCACCAAGGTGAGGGAAACATCTATATTAAAGGATGGATAAAAAGACACAGAATATTCAGAGCTCCACCTGCTGGCTGGCTGCACTTTAGAGGCCATAAACTCCACCCACCATGTCAACAGGTGTGACATACTGAAGATTAAACTGTCAATCAAATATAGGTCAAATAAGTGTTCTGAAAGATGGTTTCTGTCATTATGGTTCTTAAAGTTTACTTTAAATTACTCATCAACAAGAGGGGGTCTGACACCATGATTGACAGCTCTGTTGACCAGTGAGGCTCCTTCAGTGCTATGTGCTCCAGATAATCAGAGTAGAGGAGGGAACTGTCCTTCCACCCTGTTCAGGTAGCTCACTGATTTACCTTCCTTCTGCTGTCACTATGACGAAAAAAAAGGGAAATAATGTCACTTAATCAGCACACTGTCTCTGACTCAAGATGATGCATCAAACATTTCCACAACACAATCCAAAAGAGAAACATAACTCATTTAGTGATTTCACTATATCACCCTGATTGAACTTCCCTTCAGAGATCAGTAAAGGTCTTATCTTTTTAGTTACTTGCTCACTTTTGAAGACTTTTGAAAACTCGTGACAAGTCCAGTACAAATAAAACAGCCAGAATTTCTCAATGTTTATCTTGTTTTAGAAAAAATCAATTAATTTCTGATGCTGGATTTTTGTATTGTACACTGTATAAGAATATGTTATCCAAGTAACTTACAATTCAAATGTGGATACAATCTGGTGCTTTTCAACTCAATATTTGATCGTTAAAATAAAAGAAGCAAACAAACAAGTTATTTGCACCTTCTGCAGACTAGTCACCACTGTGGAGGACCTGGGTCTGCAGGAAGCTGGCATATTGTGACCAGTATTATGTCTCACTGTGGCAGGAAACAGTAGGTTCATGCAGAGCAGGGTCTTCTAGCAGGGCCTCTTGGTGGTTCCTTCTTATGAACTGGTCTTTCGATGTACCTGAGAATTTGCAGACAGGACCTGTATGGGACAGAGAAAGCAACCAAACTGGACCTCCTGAAAAGTGCAAATGCGGTTGCATAAATCAGGGATCCCTGGATGTAATTTGTAAAACTGTTTTACCTGCTAAATGATGGGATTTGTCTGTTTTCTGTAATAGTGGAAGTCAGGCAGGTTTTAGGAGTGCATTAATCTGTAACACGTGACAGCACTGAAATGACTTCTCCTCGTTCTGCAGGTGAAGGCAGGGTCTGTGAAGCAGGAATTTGAGAAGCAGGAAGAGCTGCGACGCTCAGCCATGCGCGCTGTCGCCGCTCTGCTGGCCATCCCCGAGGTGGAGAGAAGCCCCAGCATGGCCGACTTTGCCAACCAGATCAGAACCAATGCAGACATGGCATCCATCTACCAGAGTGTCCAAGGAGGGGAGGGAGGGGGGTTTGGACCTGCAGAGAGCATGGACATCAGCTGAGCTTAAGAAGAATTAAGAAAAGTTAAAAAACAGTTTAGATACAAAAAATAAACAAGCTTTTCAATAAAACAACAGCTGTAGTCCCCTTCCCCCAACTTGTTTCTTGTTTTGTTTTGTTTAAATTTTCCTCTCAAAATAAATCCTACAGCCTGGGAAACTTAATTGTGTCCCATTTCTGTCCATTTCATCTCAGTGTTTGTCTTTTTGAGCACATCAGTGCAGTCGTATTTTTTTCCCCAGAGATTTTTTTTTGTGCCACAAACAAAGTACATGAACAAGTAATCACCACAAACATTGTTTATCCAGTAGGTAATGTAGGTGGTGAGGTTTGAATATGTATAAAAAAGACAGATTATTACACAGTCTGGTAGAGGTGTATTAGAACAACACAAAGCAGTCGGTGAGCAATGGTCACAGGCGCTATTCTTTTCAATAACAATGTTTAGAAATGTCACATGGTAGCCCCAAAGTTCCCCAATTGGGGGATTTTGACGTCTTGTTTACTCATATTAACACATCTCAACAAATCTCACAAATTTCCCCTTGACTGTCACACCAACATTATTCAAATAGACGTTGTGGAACCATTTGATTATGGGCATGCAATTTTCAAGCAGAAAAGCTAAAAAAAAAGCCCTGGGTAGTAACAGGTTAAAGTAAAAAAAAATCTTTTTTCAACTAGAATTTGTTGAACATTACCTTTACCCTTTATTTAATTTTTTATTGTAATTTTGAACAGTTGCAGGAGTAAATGACAGTACGATGTGTGGTGAACACCACCACTTTAGCTAAGGTCACATATCTGTTCACAGTATCTCCACAGCTTTAACCACACACTGCAAACCCAAAGCACTTGGCTCTTAGCTATCCTGTTGAAAGCCACACTAAAGTCATCCAACCATACTGTAGTTGGTACCACGAAGAATAAAAAGCTTATTTAAAACTTGTGGCCCAAAGAAAAGAAAAAAGATTAAGTGAAACGATCCTGATGAGGATGGAGTGCCTTATGATGGGTGGAAAAAACCTAAAGATTAAATACAGCACCTGAAACTGAATCAGATCAGAGTCTCTGTCTAGATTCATAACATTGGATCAAGATGAAAACACAAAATACTTTCTAAATTTAATGTACACCACTAAGGTCGTTGTGTTATCAGGTCTGTGTTGATTTGCTCTGTGCTAACATTATTTTACAAGGTATCAAAACTCATTAGAACTCTTAGCAGTTAGCATACCATGCTACATAAATTACATTATAGTTTATGATACAGCTCTACTTCTTACAAAATACAGCCTATGAAACTACAAAGCAAAACAGTGTCATTTTTGAATAAACATGCTTTATTTAAATTTCAGCACACATATATTAAAATACATTTTTACATGAATCATTTCCACGAAAGGAAGCGCACACTCTATTGCCTCCTTGTACTCTCCCATCGCTCTCCACATTCTCTCCTCTAACCACTGATCGTACTTTCCCTTGTGGACATCATTTTTCCCCCTCTCTGTTCTCATCTCCTCTCTTTTGTTTTCTCCTGCTCTTGTCTTCTCTCTGCAAACTAAGCGACAAGCAAACAACGGGGGAAAGTTGTGTTTCATGAACTCAAACAGAGTGAGTTATTGTTTCTGAGGCTTGTTGACCCTGGAGTAGAGAGGATCCTCTGCAGGTCTGGATGGCTGGTTGGCAAAGGTGTTAGCTGGACTTTGTTTTACACAGGAGTATTCACAGGAAGAGAAGCTGGGTTTGAGGAACAGTCTGTCTCCAGCAGCTTTGTCAGAGCTCTGGTTGAAGTTAATGGTAGAGTAATGAAGTGAGGCCGAGGGGTTTCTGGAAAAATTCACCGTGGCATAAACAGATTTCATGGCGTTTCCATAGCCTTGATTCTGGTGGTGCTCTTGTATCTCCTCGTAGACGTAGTCCTGACAGGAATGAATAAAAAATATATATTGTTAAAGGTGAGGAAGGCAGGATCTGAGGAAGTGCCAGTTTTGGGGAGAAATCCTAAACGTAAACTCTACCCCTCCCAACCAATTTGTCCCATCAGCTCCTCCTCTCCCCTCACTCTCTGCTCCAGCAAGCCCCACCCACAAACAGATGCTCCTGCTCGCTTGTGTCGTTTTAAGTAAATTCAGATATAATGCAGATAAATACTTCAGATAATTACATATGGGGCCCAGTCAACGTGAAAGTAAATGCACTGGTGCTACTGTAGATGCCAACAGACTACCAGCAAACACAATGTTAGCAGGACTTCTACAACTAGGATAAAGTGACATAGTCCAGGACCTGAGGTAGGCTTAACAGTTTAGCGGCGCTACAACATGCAGCAGGTCCCGTCAAAAAACACTTCTGTTACACTTGCCTTACTTTGTTAAAGCGGTTTAGCTGTCCAGCAGAAAGGTTACAGGCTCCATAAGATCCCAAAGTGTCCCGTATTGTTTATGCTTCATTGATGTTGACCCGACTTCTTAGCTCTTGTCTGGTCTATCATCTTTTTAGGCGCCTGTTATTCCGCCAGAGGTATTTACTTTGTTTTCTTGCTTGTGTTGGCAGTCATGGTCAAAGATGGATTCAGACAATTTTCTGTACTTTCTGGTTGGTTTCTACTGTCCAATATTGTAGCACGCTAACTTTGTTTGGGCTCATGCATGTTATTCAAGGACGTGGCACGTGGAGCATGGCTCACAACATGCAGCTTCTGCCTCACAACCAATCAGGTTGGGTGAGGCAGCGAATGGCTTTGTTTACAGTCAGAATGAGTGGGCCGCTCAGAAAATTTGAAATGTTGACTACACAGACAAAACAAAACACAGCACTATTGTTATATTTCCAAATGACATCAATAACTAATAGCTATTGACTGATATTAAAAGCTTTTTTGTATATACACCACAAAAAAAGATGCTTCTTTAATGGAAACCTGCCTACCCGACCTTTAAAATACAAACAGGTTAACGTTATCACTTATCTTTATCCTCATTTTTATTTTGTGCCATGCAGTAAAGCATATCCTCATCTGGAATTACTGAGAACCTTTTCTTTAAGAGTTTTTTAACACTAATGTCCTGTTTCCCCTTGGGCAAAGTCAGAATCCGAAACCATATAATTACACACAGTAAAATAACACGCTCTGTCTTTTCATAAAAGATATACGTGACAGCTGCTAAGAAGTGAGGCCAAAACCTTCAGAGCTTCCTTTACTGACTGGCTGCAGTGCTTGACATAAAGCCTGCCCTCTCCATGTTGACAGATGGGACATGGGTTAAACAATAAAATTTGAATGCAGGTCTTATAATGTGGCTCTAATATGTTTTCTGTCATTATAAGTAGTTTTTGTCATGTTTTTTTTTTTTTTTGAAAATGTTCCCTTTTCTGAAAAGTTCTGTGTCTATAAATAAAGTTTAGGGACTTTTTTTTTTTCATTATTTCGATTTCCAACATAATTGTCTGTCTGGCACTTTTTTTTGTCATCAATGAGCCCAAATTTTTATCTGCCCAAATATTTTTGTGCATTTACCTCTCTGACATGCTGAGCTGCTGCTGCAGCTGGTGCAGGTGTGGTGTTTTTTGAAAAGCCTTCAGAGAGACAAATAAAAAAAAAAATAAGATAATAGATATAAGATCAACTGATTTAAACACTCAAATAGGCTTAAAACCAGCTTAATATTCAACAGTGAATGCTAACAGATGAGAACTGACAGACATTTTTTGGTGTTTCTGCATTTTTCTGTCAGTTTCACACATTAACTGTAGATAAACAAAGATTAAAGATCGATGAGCAACAGACAGGTTTTAATGTCACACCAGGTTTACATCAGAAAAGTGCCTGATTTCAACAAATATTTTAGACTTCACAAGATGAAGATGTCCTAGCTGTGGTTTTATTTCCCTAACACAAGTGTCTCATGCTCTGATCACAGCTGATAAATCTCTTACGTTTGCGGATAAGGATGGCAAGGAAGATGAACAGCAGCAGCAGCAGAACGACTGCACAGATGACCATAGTGATAACAAACCAAATACCCCCTGCAAGAAAACATCAAGAATTGAAGTCAAAAATGAAGTTCAGAAATGATTTGAAAACATGCTCTTCTACTTTGTCAGAAGGTAAAGGTATCTGACCGGCTGTCTCTCCAGGACTTTCAGTAGATGCTGGTGCTGGAAGTGATGGTGCTGGAAGGAAGCAAAAGTACAATCAGTTATCAAAGGAAGTTGAAGTTTTGTAAACAAATAATATTATCATTAATACAAAGAACTGTGTGACTTTGTCTTTTATTTAGCTTTGTTTGGTTGACCTGAATAAAAATTTTTAAGTTTATTAGATAAATAAAGACTATCAGTGATGTGATATGGCCCAAATTTAAACTAAAAAACATTTTAACTATAGATGAGACAAAAACACAGGCAAAGATTTGAGCCTTGCTGTCAATTATTCTTAAAAAATATCAGTATGCTGATTTGGTTTCAGTCTGTGATCCTTTTCATAGTCAGATCGAAGTCTGAAACTTATCAAACTGATCAGAGCATGGCAGCCTTAAACTCAGGCAGGAAACACACCGGAGTGACAAGAGAAATCTAAGAAGAAAGCAAAGTTTCCCAGAAATACAAAAAAAAAAAAAAAAAAATACACATGTGAAAAGAATTTTTTTGGTTTGTCTAAACTTGTGTCTAGTTTTTGATGAGTTTTTAAATTGTAGGGTTTGTATTCTGAATGCAAACTTCACTTCTGCATGGAGGATGTTGGGGCTGGGCATGAGCACATCACACCTTCGTCTTTCCCCTAACGAACAAAACTAAACCACTTCCTTTGGTTATTTTCCTCCGATGTAAAATCGGGTTAATCTTTCTCTCTGTGGTTTCAGCGCTTTTACTTCTTGCAGACATTTTTACTCTGAGGTCCTGACAGAAAAGTTTGAGAGGCAGATTTACAGACATTTGACTGTCAGCATCACTCATCACATTTTAAGGTCAAAAATGCTGTTATTGTTACTGATTATTTTCATGCATTCACTCTTACATGGTGTCTAAAGCAGCATCAGACTGAATCCTCACAACAAATGATTATTGTTGCACTCACCTACGATCATGGTGAATTTGTGGTAGAAAATATCGCTGTGAGTTTTGTCGGTGCTGTTTGCTCCACACCAGTAAGTCCCAGCATCCTCTGCTTTCACTCTATCCACCGTGATGTAGATTTTTTTCTCCTTTTCCTTATCTTCCATTGAAAATGTACCATTGTTCTTTTTGTTTCTGCTAATAAAAGGCTGACACACAGAGGGGTCTTCTCCCTTACAGATGAATATTGGACCACTTTTTAGGTATTGACACCAGTATTTTAAAGTTTGTCCAACAGCTGGAGACTTCGTGAAATTACGGATATCTGTAGAGGTAGAAACAGCATTGACTGTGTTTGATGCATTTAAGAGCTACTTTAATTTAATGCTCTAAAAAAAACTCTAAGAATGAGACTCACCTGTAACCTCCAGATTGATTTTTCTCCTTCCAGCCTGATGAGCATCTTTTTCAGATTTCAGTCCACACCAGTAGACTCCCCGATGCTGTAAGGACACATTCCTGATGGACACTCTGAAGCCATTGTTGGTTTTAATAAGAGTGAATGTCTCGTTTGACTGCAGGGGAGAGTCTGTTGATAAAATGTCCTCACAGACAGTACCGTTCTCTTTGCAGAAATACTTCACTAAGTGGTTGTCATGCTTCGGATATTCACATGTGATGGTGGTTTGAGCTGTTCTGTACGCTGTCTGATTAAAATGTTTCTGACATGCAACTTGATCTGCAAGTAAAAAAAAAAAAAAGAATTAAAACATGCTAAATTCAAAGAGACAACTGTCAGTTATATCTGTCATGTAAGGACAAGCTTAAGGGAGAAAAAAAGATTCCTGGGATAAAGTTGTAGTGACAATGATAAAGTCCTAAATAAGTCCCAGCTTTGGTTTTAATGAACCTGGTTTGAAAGGGGCTGGTTTGACGAGCGTTTCATTTGCTCTGGCATGTCTGGAGCTGCTGTTGTTATTAACACTCTTCCATTAGTGGCAGATGTAACAGACCAATCATCATCCTTTGTTGAAGATGACATCACTTCGGCATATCTCTAATCAACCAAGATGGAAGACATAGACGCCGTAGGAAGGTCTGGTAAGTATGATATGGCGGCTATTTTAAATGAAATGGATGAAGTAAGTCTGTACAATCTTCCAGAGGCACATTTGTAAGAAACTGTTGCTTAAATATGGATTGAACGGTCCCAGACCCATAGGTGAACTGGTTTGGTGATACCAGGATAAGGGTTGGGCTGCCAGCAGCCAGCTGCCTTGTAACCAAATGAGGAGTGTGCCGCTTCCTGTTCACCAATATTTTAGTGAAAGTTTTACGTAAAAATGCAAAGAGCTGAGGCTAAGTACTGCACTGACCTAGAGGGGAAGAACTTCACATAGTTGTAACCACATACCACAATAGTAGACACCATGATGGAAATGAACATTTGAGGAACTGGGCTGGTTCAGAAATTTTCCTTTAGCCATGGCATCCAGATTAAAATGTGAAATTGTTAAAATTAGTCTTTCAGCTTCTTAATGTTGTCTCTGTTGCTGCTGATGCATAATTTTGCTTTTATTTCATATATGCTCTACATGTGAGGAAGAGTGACCAAGTTTTTAAATGTGACTTTAAAAAAATTTAAAAAAAGGCATCTCACCTGTTTCAAACTTCAGTTCAACAGTTTTGTATGGTTTAGTGTAGGGGCCAAATGCACACTCCCACTTCCCAGCATCCTTGCGTTGAAGCTGTTTGATGATCACACTCGTTTTTTTGTCTTTTTTATCATTGTAAATGAAAACTCTATCTGTTGTTTTCCACTTATTACTGCCCATCATAAAGGTATTTGCATTATTTTTAACATAAACAGTTTGATGAACTGATGTTGGGTTGGGGTATCTGCAGCTGAATTCAATCCATCCTCCAAGACATCCCTTCACTTCACGCATGTCCTCACAGCCTGTGGATCAGAAAAAAAACCCACAACATGTCAAACACTGAAATAGACTCAGGGCTTTAAATTATTCAGTAAAATTCTCAGAGCATTTATACTTTATATGTTAAGTTTGTTGCTTTTCTTTTCCAGTAATGACTGTAACAATTAACAAAGGGCGACTTCATAGGAGAGGTCCTTTACGCTGGCTGCTGCATGTCATAAAACAGAAGAGACGAAGAAGAAGCAGCAGCAGCTAGCAGGCCAGCTGTACCCTGTCCACATGGAAACAAATTCAGGAATAAACGCAAATGTTTTTTGTTGTATCTGCATTTCATCCACACAGAAACAACATTTTGGGTCACTGTAAACAACACTTTTTGAAAACGGGTCCCAGAGTGGGTAAGTCTGTGTATGACTACCATTTCATTTCCATGTGAATGCCTATTCAGATCTTTCTTGAAATTATTACGTCACACACGGCATAACTCTCCCATGGAGCCTGTGTGAGTACAGCCAGAACAGCTTTCATACGCATGCTCCGTACTCTTTCTCTGTCTTTTGGGGCATTTTTGGGGCAGCGTTACAGCGTCACTTACTAGCTTGGCATATGCACTAGATAATTTTTGAGTTGTTTTCAGTGGTTTCATGTTTCAAGGATATTTCCTGAAACGTTTTCTTCCTAATAGAAAAATTATTCAAAACAAAATGGCAATATATCGTTTTCATCTCCGTGTGTGCTCACATTCAAAGATTTATTGTGACTCCAAAAATAATGTCAGATCATCTGGTTATATATAAATATATGATGTCAAATTCAGTGCTTGTGATGCTTTGATTTCTGAAGATCAGGTAAAGTGGATTGTCTTCATAAAAACTGAGTAAAAGGCTGATTTTGGTTGTAATCAATGTATCCTTCTCTTCTTGCAAATAACTGGAATTATTGTTCTATCAATTTTAGACCATAAGTGATGATCAATAATCAATATTTTTAATAGAAATAATAAACTTAATGTCTCCAGGCTTGTGGCAGAGGCTGCCTGTAGTCTTAAACCAGCAGATCAGCCAATAACATGCTGATTTATCTCTATGTCACTCTCCTATTGAATTTCAGGGCACATTCTCTCACTCGGCACAGCTCTTTCTAAGGGTTGAATAGTTGAACTCTGAAGTTTCTGCACCTGTTCGGGCTTTTTGCGTAATTAAACAACACCTCTTGGGCTTAAATTAGCAGGAGCTGACTTTCACTTCTACTCGTATCTTTTCCACTTCAAGAAGAGACTCTATAGTTATTATACTGTGAAGAGGGACTTAAAATTTTAGTATCTATCATTGTTTTGATGGCATATATCACAGAAAAATATTTAAAATCCCTCCAGCCTGTGTAAAAAAAGGTTACATGTTTTAAAAACAAGTTTTGAAATATATCATAAAGGCTGTATCACTGCTGTGTTTGATCAATTGATACACAAAAATATTTTCATGATGAGTTTTGAGTATAAGCATGGGAATTTTTCTCAGCAGACCACACTGGTATGAGGACAGGCAGTTCAAACATCTAATTATATTCAAACAGCAGACCATTGAGGTGTAAAAGTCACTAAAAACAGGATTTAATCAGAGAAGACTGAATGACATAAATAAATTCAAAGTGAAACACAGAGAGAGAGGAATGCAGACAAGCCGATCATAAAAAAAGAGTCAGTGGTTTAGTCTATGAAGAAGTGAAACAGTACATCAAAAACTGTGACAGCTGAGCTGGGCTAAATGGTTCCTGAGTTTGCTACTAAAGTCTCAGTTAGTTTTATGAAACTCACCGGCCATCAGTGAGAGCAGCAGCAGGAAAAAGCTCCTCATGTTGTGGATGCTTGACGCTGAATTCGTTTTTGTGACTGTTCACCTCACTTTGTTCAGTCAGTTCCTCTTTTTTGTTCTCTGGTTGGTCTGCAGCGTCTGCACAGAAGAGTCTGCTGAGATCATATTTATGGTTTGTAGAAGAGTTACCCGCCCACTTGAGTTTGCTTGATTACAAGGAAAGTTTTTTGATACTTTTATTTTAACAAGTGGAGACAGAATATCAACAGAAAAGTCAAGAAATAAACATTATTTAAAGGTTATAACTTAAATTGTATTTGATCAAATGAAATAAGTATTTGATCCCAGAGTAAAATACTTGGTGAACCCTCGTTGGAAAGCCCCTAAGCAAGGTTTGGAGCTTCAGCTCCCTCCACAAATTTTTGATAGGATTAAGATTTTGAGACTGGCTAAGCCACTCCATGACCCAAAATGCCTCTTTTTGAGTCACACCTTTGTTGCCTTGGCTGTATGTTTTGGGTCATTGTTATGCTGGAAGACCTGTCCATGACCCATCATCAGTGCTCTGGCTGAGGGAAGGAGGTTCTTGTCCAAAATCTCATGTTACTTGCGATGAAGTCATCCTGTACCCTTCACAGAAAAACAGTCCTAAATCATCAAGTTTCTGACTCCATGCTTGATGGTGAGGATGGTGTTCTTGGCATTGCATTCAGTATTTCTCTCCCTTTAAACATGCTGAGTTGAGTTGATGCCAAAGAGCTTGGTTTTAGTCTCATCTGACCCCATCACCTTCTCACAAGCCTTCTCTGAATCATCTTGGTGTTCAGTGGCCAACTGAAGACAGACCTGCTCATGTGCCTTCTTAAGCAGAGGGACCTTTCAGGCACTGCAGGATTTCAGTCCATGATGGCGTAGTGTGTTACTGGTGGTCCTCTTGGTCCCAGCTGCCTTGAGGTCATTAACAAGTCCCTCCTGTGTCGTTCTGGGCTGATCCCTCACCCTAAATAATAATTATCCTGACCTTACAAGGTTAAATCTTGAATGGAGATCCAGACCGAGGGTGACTGATGACTATTTTTTAGTTCTTCTAGTTTCTAATAATCGCACCAACGGCCGTCTCCTTGTCTTGTCTCTGACCCCCTTTTAGTTTATTTGTCTTGCTTGTGATGGAGGAGAGGTTTAAATGAAGGAGACTGGTTTTGTTATGTTTTATACCCATAATGAGCAAAGACTAGGAATGCTTTCTGAAATTAGCAGGTGCCTCACAGATAAAGAACTGGTCTGTGGAGGCCAGGATTCTTGCTGGGTTGTTGGGGGATCAAATACTTATCTCACTCAATCAAACACAATTTATATAAAGTTTATTTCCTGACTTTTCTGTTGATATTCTGTCTCTACTTGTTGAAAAAAAAAGGATCATAAAATGACAGACTGCTCATTTCTTTGTAATCAAGCAAACTTACAAAATCAGCAGAGGATCAAATAATTATTCTCCCACTGTATAACACATTGTTTTCTCTACTGATTCCTCTTTATTGGTACAGAATTTTACACATACTAACTCACCAGTCTTAGTTTTAATGATTTCATATTAATTCTGAACACTGAAAAGAAAATCAGCTTTGATGCAGCAACAGGAAGCAAAGCAACAGTTGAGCAACACCATGAGCTCTTTACAGCTCTGTCTGTAGGAAATAGAGTCATGCAGTCACCGCAAAACGTTTGTGTTATTTCCTTTGTTTGTAAAGAACTTGATAAAGTTTGTTTAAGGAAGTAAAATAGCTGAATTTGGGATAAAATAACAAAGGAAATAGCTGAATATAAAATAAAGGTCGGCAATCAATGCAAAGATCAAATTTGTTTATTGTCACTGCAGAGCAAACATAAAAACCTCTTACAATATTGAAAAGGAAAGTAAAAGTAATTGTTTAACTGTTTTTAGACATTTGAAAGGTCCAGGACCAAAACTTTGCTCATAAACATGAATTTGTGTTAATAATGTGTTCAAGTTTTACAGCTTTTTAAGTTAAAAAACATAAGATAAATGTACAGATAAAATAAAAGACAAGTACACAAAGTTGCTTAAAATATTGCACATGTTGTACACTGAATTTAGTCTGATAAATAAACCACATGAGCAGGGTGCTAATTACAAGTTATGTGGAACAGCGTGATTAATCTTGTGGAAACATCCAGGGTATTAAAGTGAAGCCACCACTGAAGAAAGAAAAAAAAACTGCAGTTCCCAGAATTTCCACTAGATGCTGTCTCCAAAAGTGAGTCAATCGCCTCTGAGCCTTCTTTTGAAAATACCAAACTCCACAGCAAATATAAACATGTTTACAGCCCCCCCTACAGACACAGTTTTGGTTTCTATGGCAAAGTTGTTATTCTGGCCCTAAATGAGTTCAATGAACCCCCAGACCCCTTCACCATAGAAGTTCCATCCTTATCCCTTCATGACTCTTTACTCTGACGCCTATTTATGGAAAGTGTTTGGGATCTTTCTCCAATGAAGAGTCAATGTGGATCGCTCATTGGTGACTCTCTCTCTCCTACCAGCACAGACAAATAACAGGTAAATCCACCAAGCTAGTCCAAAAGAGGGGAGCTTCTTACACTGAATTAGACTGACAAACTTCTGAAATGACGAGTATGTATCTCTTTACCTGTCTAGGTACTGAACATGTTCAAGAGAGAGAGCAGGTCATATTTATTTGCCTTCTTGCTTGTATCACTTATAGCACTTTGTTGTTTTTGCAGCATGTTTTCACTATTGTGTGAGGATGAAAGAGTTGCATGTGTTTTTAAGGTTGTGTCATTTCTGCATTTGTAGCATGTTTCCTCCCCTAATGAAGATCTTTCAGGCTGTTCAGGGTCATTTACCATGTTAGAGGTTGTGTTTGGATCTCCCACCCTGACAAGTCTCCCATATTATTCATAAAAAAAATCTGCTTCTTTAAAGCTACTTAAACTTAGAAAAACAGCAGGAAAAAGCCAATTAAACAAAAAGTTAAAACAAAAAGTTGAAAAAGAAAAGAAAATAATAACTGATGTTTTTTTTAATCTATATAATCTTTTTTCTGTGAGGATTAGGGCCACTTTAATAAAAAGAATTTCAAAAATAAAGTCAAAATCTAACAAGAAGTCAGTAAAAACTGAGAATAAAGTGGTGATAAAGTGGTAGTTGTCGTATCACGGTGAGCAGCAAGCTGTCCGTACCAAAATGAGGAACTTAAAGTTAAAGTGGTCAAAGTGTCTCTAATGTTTTTTCCCCCTCATTGTGAGAAGTATCAGGACTCTGTAAAGACTGAACAAAAAGCTGAGACCTAATCATTGACTAAATTAACAACTGGAATATATTTACATGAAGTTTTTCTTGTAACATAAGTTGCTCTTATAACAAATCCCTTTATTCTTGAAACATCACTTTGTTCTCCTAACAAAACTTTATTCTGAAAAGACGATGACTTTAGATTTGAAATCTTTCCCTTTGCCCTCAATGTTGACCTTATACTCTGTTGTACTCTCTTACGTATGTTTTTATTTATGAAGGTAAGTGTTCAACTCTCCTGGTTTAATAATATGGTCCTCCAAAGGTGTGTTAATTAAGCTCAGATGGTTTCGTTCGGTCTTACTGTTGCAGATTTAACAGTGGGAATTTGTCCCTCCAGGAGATTGAACCTGACAGTCACACTGAAAACAGTCTAAACTTCCTCACTGCTGCTGGGGTTGACTGAGAGTCGAATAAAAAGGGTCTTCTGCTAATCTGTGTGGGTGATTGACAGTAGAATAGGCAGGGGTTTGGGCGACGTCTTTCACAGTTGCATATGTGCCACTGTTAATGTCTTCTGAGCTGTTATTAAAGGTCATGTTGGAGTACTCCGGAGGGGCAGAGGGGACTGTGGGAAGGTTGGCAGTGGTGTAGATGGTGTGAAGAGCAGTTCCTGAGTTGGGCTTGTGGGGGCGCTCCTGAATCTCCTCATAGGCTGGATCCTTTCAGAGCAGAATGAAAACAAAGTGTGCAAAGACATAAAAACATGACTTGGACATGAGTTTATAAAGACAGTTTGATCTAAGTGTTAAAGTTTCAAAATTATACTATATTACTATGAAACTATATTATATTATATTGTTTCACACTGTGGCTAAAAAAAAAAAAAGAAGTGTGTCCGTGCAACATGCTTCATGGTGTCATAGATAACATGATGTCCCTCCTCAAATACACACTCACACAAATGCATTTACTAAAGTGGAGTCACGCACCTCTTTCAGGTTTTGTACTTCTGTGCTTTTTGAGCGCTTCAATCCTGAAAGAGAAAGACAGACAAAAATGTTTAAACTTACTGACACAATCACACAGGAAAAGGAAGTGGAGTAATTTCTCCAACACAACCTCAGAGCTTATGTTTTCTCCTGTTGAAATTTTTATCCAGCAAATAAAATATTAAAACTGACCAAACATGGAAAATCTGAACCCTTTATTCTCTCTTTAAACACCTGCTTTGACGAAGTGTGCCTCCAGGTTTGCAAATTTATGTGTGTAATTGTGTGTAATTGTGTGTTATGTGTTGCGCAAAAAGGTAAAGAAATCTCTTACGTTTGTAGACAAGAAACAAAACCAGCAAAAGCAGCAGTGTGACTGCACTGGCGACCACAGGAGTGACCACAGATGACAGAGAGACACCTGACAGAGACAAAACCAGACACGTCACTGCACAAATGTCAACCACAACACAAACAATAGTGTTCAAAAGAATGAGAGGTTTCTAGTGGTTTTTCTTCCTCCTCCTGCTTCAGTAAAAACAAAAAAAATGTTTGCTCTCACTGTTTCCCTGGTCAAACACAGATGTAGTCTGGGCCTCAGAAACAGTAGATGTAGTCTCGATCTCAGAAACAGAAGATGTAGATGGTGATTGGGTCGTACAGGTTGTAGATGTTGTAGAGGAGACTGAAAATACGTAAAAACAGATGCAGTTTATCCTCTTAAGTCATTCATCTCCAGATTTATTGGAGTTAAAGTGTTGTTTAACATGTAAATAACATTAGACCTTGGTGGTTGAAAACTCACTCAAAGCCTGTATTGGATTGAAAATATAAATAGTTACTCGCTAATTTGAGATTGGTGTCAGCAGCAAATTTCAAAAAGGTTGTAACAGGTTCATGTTTCCCATCGTGTCATCAGCTCCTCTTTCACCAACCCTCTGTAAACCTCAGTGAACCGAGCAGACCAGTTTCTGGAGTTTGGAAAGTGAAAGGTTGTCCTGTTCTTGCCTGTTAAAGGGATATTCCGGCGTATAATTAATTTATGGTCAAACACACCATAACACCGAGTCAGACACCCCCTTGAGAGATGAATGTTATCATTTCCTTGAAGTAATAATCATCATGATAATCGTTTTGCACTGCAATCATAGTAGTTCTTCTGCCTTAGCGTCTCAGTCTGATTGCATTTGCATGAAGAAATGATCATAAATGTTCTTCCTTGAGCTGCATCACCCCACTGCAGTCCGTAATGGACTGGTCCGAGGTCTTGCTACAAACAAGCGGCTGCTGGAAGACAGTAGGTGAGTTGTGTTGCTGAAGAAATCAGGAAAAAGTAAAGATATTTGGTGGCTAGTGCTATGGCTAGAACCCTATATGTACTGTTGATGAAGTTAGGTGCTGTTCTGAGCATTATTTGTGGCTATAGAGTGGTGTTTTGGTTGAGGTTTGTTTATGGCTCCTCAGACCGCTGTGTATTGCTATCTGCGGCTGTTACTAAAGTTGGTATAACTAGAGAAGCAAGCAGTCGGCAACATTCATCTCTCCAGGGGGTGTCTAACTCGGTGTTAAGGTGTGTTTGACCCTAAATTAATTTTTACGCTGGAATATCCCTTTAAGGGATTTCAGCTGCTCAACAGTTCAGGGTCTCCTTTGTATCATGATGCTTCATGTTGTCAAAATGTTTTTACCAGACCAGCTTAGCAGCAGGACTCATTGTCGTTTGTCATTGTCTTGCTGAAATATGAAGGTCTCCCCTGAAAAAGTCGTTGTCTGGATGGCAGCATATTTTGCTCCTAAACCTGTAAATATATTTCCGCATTAAAGAAGCCTTCACTTGTGTAGCTTGTGTAAGCTACCCATGACATGGAACTGTGAGCTGATATGATGGAAACCACACTCCTTCAGGGAAAGTAGCTACGAATACAATCAAGTTTTTTGAGCAATCTGACAACCTGAAAGAAAAGAAGGTTAATGAAACAGAAGATTTTTTCTTTAAGCAAAAACAATGACATACAGATGTAGCAGTTTAATAATAAATGTCACAAAGAGTAGTTTGATAAAGTTAAAGTGGAGGTCGTTTCTTCTTTTGCATTGTAGGTTTTCAAAGTTGAATTTATTTTCTCAGTGTTCTTAAGCAGCAAAGTTAGTTTAATGTATTTTTGAAAAGGTAGAGTCCTGTGCATCAAGTTTAAATGTATTATTTGATGCAAAGTGATGCAACGTTTTTCCATTTTTATTAATGCAGAAAGTTGAGGGGAAACACACCTTCTTTTGATGTAAAAAATTAAAATGACTGACAGAGAAAGGAAAACATGCTCCAGACAGGGCTGTCAGGACATCAGGTTTTCACCTCAAGATATTCAATGATATGGAAATATTTATGGATAACAAAAATAAACAAATAAAAAACAGTCAGTCAAATTGAAAGAAGAGGGGGGTCAACAAATAACTTAACTAATTGACTATTAACTAATTCACTAATGGTCAAAGTATGCTTTTATTTTTCAAGATACACCTCATCAAGTTGACGATAAGTTACAGAACCAAGTGAAAATAGTAAAAAGGATAGTTAGGTCAGTAACAGTAGATAATAGATCATCTCGTAGAGGGCAGCTACGGCAAGCTCAAGACCACCTGCCGCTGCTTCTTTGTTCATCCTCTATTCATTACAATCAGCATTAAGGACCACAACTATTAGGTGTATATACAGTATGTATATAATTTTTTTCCCCTCTAATCAGGAAATGTGGCACACAAAGTTAAGACCACCTGTCTAAACCAGAGAAGTGAAAAACACAATGAAACAACTCACCTACAATCACCCTAAATCCCGCATAGAAACGGTTACTGAGTGATGTGGAGTCTTTTGCTCCACACCAGTACATCCCATCGTCCTCTGATGCTACGGCTCTCACTGTGATGTCGATGTTTGTTTTATGGTGATCTAGTTTTATTAAAAACCTATCAGGGGGGGATGCAGACTGTGTATACTTCCAAACTGTTCGACATGTAGAGGGATTGTGTCCTTGACAGATGAATTTCTGTATTAGAGCATTGTTTGGATACTGACAGGAGTGTGTAAAAGTCTGTCCAATAGATACGGTCAGTGTGGAGGTGGGAATACCTAGAGACAGAGAGAAACACACATAATTGACTTTATAAAATGAGTGTGTGAATGTGGCTTGAAATAGTGAAAAAAATACATTAATGTTGTTTCACATTATGGTGTGTCAGTTTTCAGTTTGTAAAGGAGCTTCAGTCGACGTCTGCTGCGACTGCTTCAAATTAGCGAACAAAAGACATTAATTACACATCTGATTTTTGTGTATTTGAAACACAACATGTAGTGCAAGGCATTTCCTTTCACATCCTCTTAAATCATGCCAAGCAGTGGTCATGCATTTTTTATACAGCAATCAGTAAGGGGAAGTGCTGTGATGATCTATGTTGGAAATATAAACGTTAGTGTAACTCAGGACAAATGCAGGGAAATAAATGTTTTCCAGAAGATGAACTTTGAACAGACAGATGCCATGGCCACTCCCTTTGACTTTTGTTTCTGAAGCCACTTAATTTTTCATTTTTCAAGTGTCCTCTCTATTAACCAAAGACAGGGTCTGGGTTATCTTCAAGGGGCAGTAAGTCCTGAGAGGCCCCAGTAAAAGGAACTTTATTCTACTAAACATTTTTGATAATTTTTCAGATCATAGGTGTGGCTGAACACACTATTACGTCACGCCCAGAGACTGTACCTATATCAAAAGTGTTATGGGTCTACTACATGCTGGTTTACTGCATTTGGTGACCCTACAATAATGATAAGCCCCTCAAAAAACACTTCCTGTTTCATGGCAAAAACAGTGTGGTTATGGCAAAAGGGTTCTGCGTACACTGTTGGGCTCTCAATGAAAAGGAGGTCTGGGAATGTCGAGGAAGCATAATATGAGGGCAAGCATGATATTCCCTGCTGCCAAGTTGGCCCTTCTTGGGTTAAGGGACTTTTATAGGTCTTGATGTGACAAATTTGCACAAGGACACTCATACATAGTTTAAAATAACCTCCCAAATAGAACCCCCAAAAGTAATTTATGTGGTAGGAAGAATAACGTATTGACGGGTTCCTGTACACTTTCTGCTGGAGCCCTGATAGGTACCACAGTTCAGATTACCCTAATTATAAGATGACCGCCTTTTTAACCCTAGAACACAATCACCAAGTGATTTTCACCTGACCAAACATGTTTATGTGATTTTCATTATTTTGCGTTTGTCTGAGTATCATGGGTCCCTGGGTCAGCTTTGCCTTTAACATGTTTGAAGGCATATTTGTTTCCCTGATCCAAAACCCACTATTTCCTACAGGCACGTGTTCGAGTGACTTTCACCCGGCAATAGTGATAGAGGGTAAAGTAGGTTTGGGTGGATTTGATAGCTGCATGTAGGCAAATAAGGTCAGTAAGAGTGGTCATGGAATTTGCATGCTATCTTTATTTAGCGCAGAGGTTATAAATAACTATCACAAAGTAGTGATTTTCAAGGGAACTCATATGGTTATCTATCTATCTATCTATCTATCTATCTATCTATCTATCTATCTATCTATCTATCTATCTATCTATCTATCTATCTATCTATCTATCTATCTATCTATCTATCTATCTATCTATCTATCTATCGTCCCCTCATTGCACTTTTTTCCCTCCCTTTGGACATTGCACAGTTAAAAATAAAGGAAAATGACTTTAATTTGTCATGTATTGTCCTATTTTGATATATTTTGATGACAAGTACTTCTTCTTGGGTATATTATTATTATTTTGGATGGAAATCACCCGGCGATAGTGATGGTGTGATGGTGTTCTAGGGTTAAGACAAGGTTTTTGGGAGGTGTCTTTTGGAAGCAAAAATTTTGCTATTATACTGAAAAATGAGATTTGATGGTGAGAGGGATGAGACAAATACATTTAATAGAGCGATATATAAATTGTATGATCAGGGGTCAAAAGAGCCATGCTTACCAACTGATTCCCTGCAGAAATAATGAAACACAAGTGGACGAAACTCTTCAAACTGCAAACACTGGAAACATGAAGCTGAACTTTTCCAAAGCAAAAGTTTTAAAAAATCTGATCTGAATGACTTACCCACAGCTGTCAGATTTATTTTTCTGACTCCAGCTCGATAATTTTCATGCTCAGATTTCACTCCACACCAGTAGACTCCCTGATGCTGTGAAGACACATTACTGATGAACACGTTGAAACCTTCGTTGGTTCCTGTGAGACTGAATGTCCCGTTTGACTGAGAGTCTGTTGATATAATATCCTCACAGACAGAACCGCGTTCTTTGCAGAAAAACTTGATTGCAGAGCTGTGAGCTCTTGGGTATTCACATGCGATGATGGTTTGAGCTGAGATGTAGGCGGTTTGATTAAAAGTTTCCTGGCATTTACCCTCCTCTGAAAAGGAAAAAGTTAAACATGTAATCTCTGTATAATGTCTACCAGGTATGGCATGTTCCATATAGTCAGAAGTTATAGTTCTGAGTCTTCCTCCACACAGCAGAGGCAGGATCACTTCACACAGATAACAGAGAGAGTTGACTTTTACTCATCCAGCTGACCATTGAAATATTGTAATCCCCCCCTCAGATCTGTAAACTGAATAAGAGAAGTCATGCTGGCTCTTCAACATCTTGACTGATACTGATAATGTAGCACCCCAGCTAACACAGCATCCGTGTCCCCATACAAGAAAGAAACTCCCAGTTTTAAGTTGTTCCATTTGCTTCCCATTATTGAAGTTATTTCCTATATTTTGTGGACCTTATGCCAAGAGCCTTTAGTTTTTAACTGCAAGGGATAGTTTTCTCTGCTCCAAACCCACTCAAAGAGTTTTCAAAATTTGTCATGTCATTCTGGGAATCAAAGTCTATGTTTACGTGTACAAAAAAAGGCATTGAGAACTTAAACAGCATAAATATATTTTAGTAAATAAGGGTCATAAACACAACCTCTGTGGGAGAAGAAACATTGATAAAAGATGAAGTACTTCTTTACTGTTAACAAAACAAAACCCCAGAGCTGTAAAGTTGTCAGCGTTTTCATTATCTCAAATCTCATATACAGAAAAACATTAGCCGTATGATAACGCATTTGTCGATTTTTTTGATACATGAAGTAATAAAAACAGGAGATGGTCCAGTATAAATGAGTTGAAAAGGGGGACTTGTCACTATAGCTGAAGTGGACATACTTGAGTCAACTCATTCCCACCAGGTACTTGTACACTAAGACAACAGTTAAAATGAAGAGAGGTGAAGAGTAGAAAACTCTTCATCCTTTAGATATAACACATTTTTAGAGATGTGTTTTTACAGAGGGTGTTCTCTGAGATGCTTTATCCTGCAGATGCTGTTACCAGGCAAATCAGGCAGCATTAAAGATGGCTGCTTGTGTTTATTATCTTTTTATTCTTTTTGAAATCTTTTTACCTTCTTACATAGTTTTCAGTATTTCTCACTTTTTTATGTTCATCTTTGGTTTTGTGCTGTAAATCTTTTTTGTTTTACTTCATATCTTTCTCATGTCTTCCGTTAATCCATCTCTTATATTGCTGTATCTACCAATTTATCTATTTAATAATAATTAGTTTATACATATAGCACTTTTAAAATCAGGGATTTATTTTTCATTATCCATCATGTCATTAAATCAGCAGTTTTATTTAAAATTTCTTATCGTATTATTATTAATAATAAAGCTTTTTTTAATAAAGGTGGGACATTGTCTTGCTGCCACCCAAAGGTGTCTTGCTGCCCCTCTTGTGCTTACTGAAGTCTAACGTCACAGGGATGTCTGTTTCAGGACTTTGGTTTCACTTCCATGCATTAAATAGTAAGGAGCAGCTTCATAAAGTCAATGACTGGCTTGTGGCGTTCCTGTTTGGCCCGGTTTAAAAATGCTCTAAAAGGCAACATGAAGGACAAGAATAAAGAGGAAACATTTGTGACCTACTTACCAACTTCCACCCTCCTCTCGTCAGGGTACTCTGAGCCTGGTTCTGGGTAAAATTTGCATTTGTAATCCCCAAAGTCCTTCTCTTTAAGATTTCTGATGATGACTCTCAGATTATGATGTGCAGTATCATGGTACAGGGAAAACCGTTTATGATTTTCCCAGCCATCCCTTTGATTGCTTGTTATAGTTCTTTTTTCGGATTGCACTTCAACATAATGATATATTTCAAATTTTGGATAACTGCACCTGAAGTCCACCCATCCACCTCTGCATCCCTTCACTTCAGTATCTCCAGCTGTGGTCCCAAAGCCTGTAAATCACAGAAAAAAAAAAAAAAAACAACTTTAATCAGATTATGTGCTAAAATGGATTTGGATAGTGCAAGAAACAAACTCAGGACCTATCGCATTTTTTCAAATAAGCATCCACAAATTGGGTTTGTATAATGAATCATGATACTTTTTTAAGCAACCTCACTATTTTTTATGTATTTTTTAAGGGGGGAAAGCTCTAGGGCTCTATTTTCGTGTCCACTGGTGAGGCGGCGGAGGGTGGCGGACCCAGCGCAGTGGTATTTTCATCTGGCGGAGCCCGGTGTACAGCCAGTTCGGTATTTTCGTGGACTGAGGCGCACCGAGGTCCGCCAAGCTGGGCATGGTGGCGTGGCAGAGGGAGGTGTCGACAGGATCAGCTGGAGCAGTGACATTTTCGTGCTCGCCAGTGGCATGTAAAGTGCGCTGAAAGCTCGCCGATTCAAACCTGGTCAGCTTTCAGTACAGGCGGAGCGCAGCTGGTCTAGTAGTATTTTGGTAGACTGACGGCGTATCGGCATACGTCACTGATGCCTCACCGGCAGGTTTCCACAGTGTCAGGCACATTTCAGTGCAATAAATAATCACCAACAACTAATAATCTGAGTCAGCACATACATTTAGATCTATATAGATATATTCTGATCTATATCTGATCTGATGAGCGCGTTTGGCACGCGTTTGGACACACAACCTGACCGAATCAACACAGCTGAAACCGCATTAAATTAAATTAAATATCTAGTAAATAAACACACATGATGAAGTTAACAAGATATGTAATTCGTCTCCCTCCTTTTCTTTCTTCCTCTTCCTCTTATTTCTCGCACAGCTCGACCTGGACACGTCTCCTCTCTCTGTCCTGCTGCTGCTGCGGCTGAACAGATGATTTGTTTCAGTGATCAGATGAGTTATTTACTTTAAGCCTACATACGAATGTTATGATATTCAGTTTTGTGAGCCAAATTTATTTTATATGCCAACAACTATGAAAGAAACAGCCAGGCCACAGAGCGCGATGCGTCATTTACGCACAGATGGTTCCGATTTTAATGCCATTTTTGGAGTTAATGTTGTGATCTGTGCGCACAACCCACCTTTGTCACGTGAGGTTTGAATATATGTAACTTTATGTGAGTGTCTTGTCAGCGTGGCGGACCTGACTTATGCGTCGCATGTAAGTCAGGTCGCAGGCAAGGCACGAAAATAGAGCCCTTAGAGTATATCAGGGCTTCGAGTGAATCAGGGTGTGTCTGCCTCCTTCTGATGATAACGCAACACACAATCTGGATGCTAAGTCAGGAACAGGGTGAAAAAATGTCAGACTAAAGTCCCGGGGAAAACAATTAACTATTAGGTTTGTCCACCCTCACTCAGGTGTGCTCCTATTTACACACAGCAGGTTACCGCTTCCCCAACACAATTAATTCCCCTTCTCTCTCTGTGCCCATGACCACACAGAACTCGCACGTAGGTCACTGTATGACTAATGTCAACGTGTGGATTGATGTAATAATCTACTGAAATAATTCCTCTGAACGTCAGGGGACTTCCCAAACTGACACATGCATACATTTACACACAGGGCACAGCAACTTTAACAAACAATAGTGTTTAGTTTCTGTTGATATCTGTGGATCTGGGCAGACTGGTTGGTGGCATTTAAAGTTAGCATAGTTTTGTGTGTATGTTTCTAGACATTTGAAAGTGTGCATGATGGAGAGTTTGATGATGGTCTTGATCTGGAGGTTTTGGCCACCTCAGTCCTGCACAGAGAAGGTCTTTCTTTTCTGCATTCAAGATCAGCACCGTACTGTATCATGCTGTACGGAGACAGGAGAAAAATGTCTCTGGTCACAGTGTCCCAGTAAACACTCTCGATTTTTAAAAAAACTGAATAAGATCTATCCTGATGAGTGTAAGCTCTTCGATCCAACGCTGTATGTGGGAATTAATGAAAGGAATACCCATCGTTAACCATAAAAGCCGTTTTACAATCTCGTGAATGTGCCCCCTAAACAGCAGGACAACACTTTGCTATGGGCTTCAGACTATGGATCAGAGTTTTTGGTTGGCGTTCTCTATTCCTCAAAATGGCAAGATCACACCACCTTTGCTCTTCAGCACTTCTTATTTCAAATTACACAATGTGGGTGCTAGGCATGAAAGTGACAAGCGTGTCGAGAGAAAAATTTGTGTTTGTGTTTAAAATTTGTGATATTTGTCCTTTTTTCAGACCACGTGGCCTAATGGACAAGGCGTCTGACTTCGGATCAGAAGATTGAGGGTTCAAGTCCCTTCGTGGTTGAAACCCTCCCTTTAGAAGCAGAGATAATCCTTTCCCACTATACATTTAGGGTTCACCTTGACTCCCTGCTCCATCAAAATGGACTATGAGCGCAACGACATCCTGGCCAGTTAGCTCAGATGGTCAGAGCGTGGTGCTAATAACGCCAAGGTCATGGATTCAATCCCCATACTGACCAAAAACTTCCTCATCACAATTGTAACTAAAGTGCACTCAAAGACATATCAGCTGTTGTACACCTTCTTGTGCTTAGTATACCCTAGGCCAGACTTTGAACTCAAAACACTTTGACTCTGAATCTTTGTCACAGAAATCTTTCTCTTGCACCAGCCTCTGCTGCAGTGTTGCGTCTTCCTGTAGGAAAAGATTTACAACCCACAGATTTTGTAAAAACATTTCTGGTTCCTACTTTTGTAGATAATGATGAATAGATGACAGCTGCGTAATGTTTCCGACATTTTAGTGTTTCCCACACACTATACGTGGGCAGGTATGTCACCAGGCATTTCTGTATTCATGAGTTTCGGTCACTTTTTTTGTTGTAGTCGCCATCTTTGGACCATCAGCTGGCTAATACAGTCAATGACTGGTTCTACTTTGAGATCTATTTTTAGATGAAAATACTCATCTTTCTGCTGGCTGCCAATCTGATCTTCCCCTTCAAAATAAAATATAGGCTAAACCCACTTTTTTAGACATAATTTGACGACTTTATTGTCTTAATTTTACAACTTTAATCTAGCAGGATGTACTTATAAACACTGGTCCCAGATTGGTCCTGAGGACTGTGCTGTCAGTGCTCTGTAGAACCAGATAGCGTGCCAGTCCCCTCAGTTTCATGAAACCACAAAGCTTTTGTTTTTATTGACAGCCTGTAAAAAATAGTTATGCTAATAAAGGCGGGTATGTCTTGGCATGTATGACGATTACTAAAAGTATCGTTGTCTGGTATCTCGGTACAGGGGAGTCTCATAAAGATACACACATAAATGCATCTGTGATAAAAAATACTACTCACTTAAGAAATGCAGGTTCAATGATGTCCTATCTTTTTGTTAAAAAAAATCTAATACTTTTGAGAACATATATTTGTAGATTTCCATTACACAAACTTTAAACCGTATAAAAGGAGCCCTCACTCATTGTCTCTCTTTAGCTGATGTATTTCATGAAACAACGGTCTACAGAGACCTTCATCAGGTTTACAACCATCCAATAAGAGAGCAGTTGATGACCTGAAGCTAATCAGCTCTCAGTGAGTTAAAAAAAAACTTACAGGAGACCACATCATACCCTATCAAACCAGTGGCATTCGTATAAACACAGTACATGGCATGGAATAAAGCCGTATCACAACAACCATCCTGCAATGGACCCTTCTTTGATATCTCTTTGCAGTAATTGTAGTTCACCTGACAACCATATACCACCAGTTGCCATAGTTATTTGTACACAGACCGGACCAGACACTGATAATATAACTAGCTCAGACACCACAGTGTAGACAAGATTTTGGGAGGAGCATTTTAAGGTGAGGTGGATACTACAGCACAAAAGTATGGAGATGCCGATGACCACTGCAGCGCAGGTCTGACACAGAAGCATGAGCCAGGCACAACATTAATTCATACTGATCACTTTTAAGCCAGAAGGTACAGCTGTTAAAATGACAAATATTTCCTCTTAGAAGGGTTGTGGTTTGAAAATTTACGCTTTTGACCACTTACATGCTCAGGCAGTTCATGTTGTCTGCCAGGCTTTTTCTCTCTGCTCTATTACAGCAACCCTGTAGCAGTTTTAGCATGTAATGCTTCACTTCATTGTTTGTCTCCATTTTCAGCTGTTGTTCTGTCTGTAAAAGGTAGGAGGCATGTTTTTTCTCCGTATCTGCATCGATAAATCTGTGGCAGTCTATTTCAGAAAGCCATGAGCACATGCTCGCCAGAATGAGTTACACTTGGTTTGATGTAGGCACACCCCCTAATCCTGGCTCGGCAAATGTTTTAGGGATGAAGCCAGGATGAGCTGATCTCTCTCGGTCAAGCCTCACTTTTTCACTTGTTTTCATGAGCAGAAAAAGACAAATACATTTGTTTGTATTAAAAACACTTATTTGAAGAGAGTCATTTAAATCTAGTTCCTACGTTATGTTTGTGAATCCCACAGTGTGCATTTATCTTTGATGAGACTGTGTTAACACGATACTTGTTATGACATATTGTGCTTCAGCTTTAGCCAGTGTGGCTCACCTGTTAGCGTAGCGTCTACAGTTACTCGAAGTCATTGATAGTAGATCAACTCTCATCCTTCAGTGCATCATAACCTGCTCTCAGTTATAAATGTGCCACTAAAAACTGTTATTTCCACGTGGACATGGACAGGTTTAAAGCCACTCCTTTAAAGACGAGTTTTTTTCATGTGGATCAGAGTTTATCTGCTATCAACCACTCTGTGAATCTATCAAGATATGAAATAATATAAATGTGTTGTTTCTCAGAGTTTGTGAACCTGGTTTTGTTTAGGAATAATATAGATTTGTGGTACAGTTCTGCATCACTCTTTTCTGTCAGTCTGACGGTAACTAATGGCTAAAATGAAGCAAACAGCTTTTTTACGCTCTTTCCAAACAGTCAGGGTAGTTGTGCTGATTGGTTTAAAGGTATCATGTATCGTTAACAGTCTTACCTGTCGTCAGTGTGAGGATGAGTAGGAGGAAGGTCTTCATCATCTTGCTTTTGGATGCTCAGTTTGGTTATTTCAGCTTTCTAGAACTGCTGTGTCTCTTCAGCTGTTTCTTTTGAATGTAACAAAAAAAACAGTCTTCCCACTTTCTCATAACTCTTCCTCTTTTTAAAGCCAGTGTAGTACAGTCCCTCCCCCATTTTACTTTTAAGGAAATGAAGTGTGAGAAAAAAAAAAAAAAACACAGGGGGAAGGGACTGACGACTTGAGAAAGAGAAGATAAGCTGAAAACTGATCTCAGTGATGAAGGGGAGATGCAGAGATTCATCACTGTGGATTAGACATCCGTCAGCAAATTTAATCATATTTATTGTACATCATGAAAATTCACAGGTGTCAAAACAAAAAATTGAAGGACAAGTACAGCAAAGTGAAAGCTCTGGCTTTCAGTGTTCCCTGAAGAGGAAGTGAAAGGTGTCATCAGTGCAGAAATGGTCAAACCACGAGCTGCAAATTATGCAAAACAGTGATAAAAACGCAACACTGCAACACATTATTTTATCAGGGTTCCACACATTTTTTTTAAAGTCATACACCTTTTCCCCTTCCGTGAACAGAAAAAACAGTTTTTAAACTTTATTCACTGTAATGAACATTAACTAAAAGTTTATAGGCCACTGATAAGACATTATAAGGCTCTTAAAATTTTACAACTGTGACTAAGTCTTAGTAAAAGCAAAGTTAACTCATTCATTATTGCTTAAAACATTCAGATGCTTTAAAGGTGGGGTAGGCAGGATCTGAGGAAGTGCCAGTAAATGTAAACTCTACCCCTCTCAACCAGTTTTCCCCTCAGCTCCTCCTCTCCCCTCTGTCTCTGCTCCAGCAAGCCCCACCCACAAACAGGCATTCCTGCTCGCTCGTGTCGTTTCAATTAAATTCAGATATAATGCAGATAAATACTTAAGATAATTACAAATGGGGCCCAGTCAACGTGAAAGTAAACAGCAATGGTGCTTCTGTAGATGCCAACAGACTACCAGCAAACACAATGTTTGCAGGACTTCTACAACTAGGATAAAGTGACAGACTCCAGGACCAGAGGTAAACAGTTTAGCGGTGCTACAACACGCAGCAGGTCCCGTTTGACAAGAAACACTTCTGTTACACTTGACTTACTTTGTTAAAGCAGGTTTACCTGTCCTGCAGAAAGGTTACAGGGTCCGAAAGATCCCGAAGCATCCCCCATCATTGTTGACCCGGCTTTTTAGCTCTTGTCGGGTTTACCTCCTTTTTAAGTGCCTGTTATTCTCCAGTATTTACTTTCTTTTCTTACTTGTGTTGGCAGTCGTGGTCAAAGGAGGATTCAGACAGTTTTCTGTACTTTCTGGTTTGTTTCTACTGTCTGATATTGTAGCACGCTAACTTTGTTTGGGCTCCTGAATGGAGCAGCATCCGCCTCACAACCAATCAGGATGGGGGAGGCGGGGAATGGCTTTGTTTACAGTCAGGAAGAGCGGAGCGCTCTGAAATTTTAAAATGTTGACTACGCAGACATCACAAAACACAGCAATATCGTCATATTACCAAATGTAATCAATAACTAATAGCTATTGACTGATATTAAAAGCTTCTTTGTATATAAACCACAAAAAAGATGCTTCTCTAACGGATTCCTGCCTACCCCACCTTTAATTAGAAATTTGTAAACACTTAAAGTATCTGTGATACACATCAGTAGGATGTTAATTAACACTTATTAGACTTTCACCATCGTTATTGAGAGTGTAAAATTAAACCTGAAAGCGATGGGGTGCCGGTTACACTTATTATGAATAGGTGCTATATAAACATTGACAGGTTTTGGTCATGTCTCTTTTGAGCTTACTTGGTCACTATCATGGGAACCTGTAAACCAGGGCAGAGACCTAGCATTGCCAAGTCTTCATAAATACGGTCACTTCTGCAGGATTTCTAAGGCAGAAGCTTGAAAACAAACACTTTAAGACTCAGTAGGTGTATCACATTATCTCTGTTCACCTGCAGAGTGAGCAAATGTGTGAAGCCAGAGGAGAACAAGTGCACAATAATAAAAATATGACATTATAAATTGCATGAGAAACCATTAAAATCCTCCAGCTGTGTGTGACTAAGAGAGTCCTCACACTGACCCCCACTCTCCATCAGATTGTGTTGATTGTGTTGAAACACACAGTTTAAAACCGTCTCTTGCAGCTAATAGCTCGGATCATTTTCCTGACAGGCCTCTGTGGGGATGTTGGCCGTGTGCTCTGGGAGAGACACCCACTTTATTTTACTCCACTCTGATGGTTTTTGGCCCTGATGTGGGTTTGTACTCTGATAAGGTTTGACGTCCGCTCCAAGTGAAACATGGAACAATGGCCGAGTGTGTTTCTGCTGTACAAGTGTGTTTGTGATCGGAGGAACTGCCAGCCAATCAGGAAAGAAAACACAGATAAGATAGAGATTTTGATGCTGGCAGGGGTCTGCAGAGCACAAACACACAGATGCAAAGACCCTGGCTGTGATTTGTTGTGATTTATTGGTTATTTACAACCTTCTGGTGGGAACAACATCTACAAGAATGACTTAATAAAAGCTGCAGATTGAGTGATGGACTGCAGAAAATTTCCAAGAAAGTAATCTCTTACTTGATAGTTCAAGTGAATAGGTTAGCTTGTGTTAGTTTTTGTCCATTTTTGAAAGCTTTTATAGCCACGAAGACGCCTTTAGACCTGTTATCAGTGCTTACAGTACTTTTAATAGTTAAATCGGGATACAAAACCGGTAGAGAGTGAAATTTACAAAGACTGTATATAGAATGGATGCCTTCTGCCTCCTTGCTGGGTGAAGCCACTGCAAGAACAGCACCCTCTGGTGACGGGCTGCAGTATAGGTCATAAATCCTGCCTCCTATAGCAATCTCTATGGAGCTGTGGACAAATTTATTACACAGAATATCAAATTTTCTCCCCCCTGCTTGCAATGTTGACATGTAGTAGCTGTAAGACTGGTTTGTGCTCAGGTCCTCTTTTTTCTGTACAGCTCCAATTTTAAAAGTTATTAGGTGGTTCATGTTTTCGATGATTTACACTTAAACAGCCTATGGGTGTACAGGGATTGTGTAGCTCACCCAGGGGATATGCTGTTTGAGCCGAGCATCATCAAAGCAACTCTCGGCGACTCTCCAAACGAATGTGTACAAAGCTACTGCACAAGTAGTGGTTCCAGGAAGTGGAGAAAGTCTCAGAAATACCAAGAGCAACTCGTCGTCAAATGCGAATAATGATGGAAGGCGGAACCAACTGTCCCTGGCAGGCCTCACGTTCATCCCTGTCCACTGGGAAATGCCACAGTTCCCCAGAATAGTGATTCCAGGTCTGGTGATGGCGCTTATAGATACTTCAGCTTAGTTGGTAAAAATGTCACTATGACTGTCTGTGGCTTTTATTTAAGTATTCGTAATAAGCCATAGCGAGGCTCATTATCACAGACAGAGGTATATCCTCTCAGACATGCACACACACTGAGCTCTTCCACCCTACCTGCTCCAATTCTACTCATCACCACCTCCTCACAACCATCATGCCTGTTACTCCTTGAAAATGTTCTACAGCTCCTCTGTCACCCTCTACCCTATGGTGACATTTTTGCCTCCAGCTTTACTTCTTTTTGCCTCCATTTGAACCATGACATCGTATTGACATCAGCTCTGAAAAAGTCAACGAGTAATCAAGTTGTTTTGGCGTGTTTCATCCAAAGTGAATCCTTTCCAAAGAGCAGAGTTTGTATAGTTTAGTCAGAGCTGAAGCCGTGCTGTTTTGACTCTTGTGGTTGTGAACCTGTTGTGCTGTCGTGGAGTGTGTGGGTGTTTCACTGTGATGGATGAGGGATAATGTTTCCCTGCTGTCTGCAGAGCTGATTTTGTTTACATAAGGATTTAAAAGCCTGTCAGTTTTCTCTTCCTGCTTTAAACCAAGCTGCTGATTCATCCACATGAACGGGCTGATAGAGTGATGATATGATTCGTCATTTTTAAGGAGGTAACCCTGTAATTTGTCTCAAAACAACGACATATTTCGCTTACACAGTCCATTTAGAGGTGGACAAAGCGGCGCTGAGGTTTGAACTGCGTTTTAATACTTTTATTCTCAGAGAAATATTCTTCATCGTTTCTCTTATCAGGTTTGAAATGACTTCAGAGTAACAGTCCAAATGAAGTAGATAATAAAATATAAACATCATCATCACTAATGGTGGGAAACCTCTTTCCCTTTATGCTGAGCTTTGAAACCGTCTGAAGTCTATTTGAAGATACGGCTGCAGAAATTCCCCTTTTTGAAGTAATGATGTATTTTTACTCCCCCTCTGAAAGCATTCCTGTCTCCTTTTTCTTTATCAGAGACAGACACACTCGGCAACATCACTTTAAATGCTACTGTGTGTAAACTATTAGACTGTTTGATTAATTCAGACAATTTAATCTCTTGATGCTGCATTTTCTACTCTTCAAACTACTAATTTAAGCTCTTTTCACCGAGCACTGCAGTGATTAATGGGTTAAAAAAAAAAAACACATTAACTACCCTTTAAAATACCTATTCACTATCTTCTGACAATCATTTATGCTTCTGAGAACAATGGTCATTTTTGAAATCAGTGTGGGGAGCCAATGGCAAGAAAGGACTTTTTACATGTTTTTTTTTGTACAGTCCACTGACAAAGCTATGAAAGACAATTGAATAGATTAATGAATCACTTTTTAAATTTTTCTCGCTTATGAGTTTCAAAGTTGTTTGACCTTCATTTAATAAAAAAAGACATTATCCAAAGTAAGTGTTTCAACAGAAAAGACTTCCAGAAACACCGGCCTAGGATAGAGAATTTTTTTTTGAAGCTGCTAATTAAATACAGCAGCTAAGTGCACTGGGAATCATCAGAAACAAAGAAAGAGTTATTAGGTCAGAATTATGAGATTAAGGAAGGAATTTTAGGATAAAAATTCAGGATTTTGACAATAAATTCATAATTCCTAGAAAGAAACTCAGAGTTTTAAGATTACACTCTGCGTTCTAATAAAAGGTCAGAACATTGAGATTAACCTCAGAAATC